TTTTGCGGTACTGTGGTGTACAAGCACATTATGAACTCAACAATAATCGAGATAACCACTAATAATCAAAAGTTATGTTTAATCCCAGTTTATCTAAATTGCAATAACTGGCTAAATGATCTCAATAACTTATGTGAAATATTAGTGGAAGCTCAGAACGAAAATGTCATGATAATAGGTGACTTCAATGCACGAATAGGCAAAGAACAATGTCTGGAATTCAGCCCAAATATGCAGTGGGCTGAACTATTGGGCCACAGAGTAGCAAAGGATACAATTGTAGATAGAAATGGCAAACAATTACTAGAAATTTGCAATTCATTTGGTGTCACCGTGTTAAATGGCCGCACTAAAGGCGACAGAGAGGGTACATTTACGTTTATCAGAGGTGTAGCAAGGTCAACGATAGATTATTGTTTTGTGAAAGGAGTATGGTTAATAATAACTGAAGAGTTTCAAATACGTGACATGATATACTCGGATCATCAGCCACTGGAAATTATGGTAAATCTAGATGCCTCTAATTCAAATGAAAATAAAATGCAGTTGCTACCGAAACTGATATGGAAAGATAAATATAAAGATCTGTACCAAGAAAAGCTTGAAGAATCCCTTAATGCATGCGAAGGTAGTACATTTGCGTCGAAGGAAGGAGATGACATTCTTCAATATTGTGTAAAACAAGCAGCAAAATCGTTTCAGGGTAATTCGGCGGGTATAAATAGGAAACAAAAATGGTATGATTTTGAATGTGAAACTGCAAGAAAGAAATCATTTAAATGGCTACAAACAGTTAAAAAAGGTGGTGATATAGCTGATTTAGAGAAATACAAAAATGTAAACAGAGAATACAAAAAGCTGTGTGATGAGAAAAGGAAGTCATATTTCAATGAAATGGCAATGTCGATATCCCAAGCAGCTGATAGTAAATCATTTTGGAGTGGAGTTAAAAAAATAAATCGTGCAGATCACATAAAAGGAATTAAAGTGGACGCCGAAGCTTTGGCGGCACATTTTAAAAACCAGTTAAATAGCAATATAGTAAGCAAGTCTTTCAGTTATGCCCTGCCGTATGTAATAAATGAAGCGTTAGATGCTCCAATAAAGATTGAAGAAGTCTATGCAGTGCTCCAGAATTTAAAAAATAACAAAGCCGCAGGTGAAAACAGAATTCCAGCTGAGTTTTATGCCACGCCACAATTTATAGAGCATATGGCTGAATCATACAATTATATATTTGAAAATGCAGCCCCACCTGATAGTTACAAAAAAGCCATAACATTTCCCCTATTTAAAAAAGGTGACCCAAATAATGTAGCAAATTATAGAGGAATAGCATTTCTTAATACATCAGCTAAAGTATTTACAACACTCCTGTATAACAGAATTAAAAATTGGGTTGATCAAAACAACATATTAAGCGAATTTCAAGCTGGATTTCGAAAAGGTTACTCCACGGTAGATAATATTTTCGTCATCACTAGTGTAGCGCAAGAGTTTATTGCAAAAAGCAAGAAGTTATATGTTTTTTACGTAGATCTTAAAGCTGCTTTCGATACAATACAAAGAAACGTACTATTTTACAAACTAAGCCAGCTGGGTCTTTCAACAAAAATTTTGAAAATACTGCAAAGTCTATACTGCAACAATGAGTCAACAGTATGGGACGGAAGAAGTACTTCGAGATGGTTTCAAACGTGTCCCGGAGTGAGACAAGGTTGTGTCTTAAGCCCTATATTGTTTGCACTGTTCGTTGATGACTTAAGTAAATTTCTTTCTGGTGGTGTTACGATTGCCAATATGTGCCTAAAAGTACTATTATATGCTGATGATATTGTGTTGTTTGCAGATTCTCCAATAATGTTACAAAATATGATAGATGAATTAAATAGATATTGCAACTTATGGGAACTATCTATAAATACAGACAAATCAAAAGTGATGGTATTTAGGAAACATGCTAGAAGATTGAGAAATGATGAAAAATGGTACCTTAACGATGATCAATTAGAAGTGGTTAATAATTATAAATATTTAGGAATAAATATGAAATATAACGCAAAATTCGATAACCACTTGAACGAGAAATTAAAGGAAGCTAAATTGGCTATTAATTGTACCTGGAAAAATGTCTTAGGAAATCCGAAAGCGTCACTGCCCGTAAAATACAAAGTTTTTGAAGCCACAGTTAAGTCAGTTCTAAATTATGCAGAGCAAATCTGGGGTGTTGATGAATATGACGCAGTAGAAAAATTGCAGACATTTTATATAAAGAGAACGTTTCGTTTGCCGAAAAATACCCCAAATTATATGGTGCATTTAGAAACTGGTCTACCGACGCTATATACCCAAACATTAAAATTGCATTTTGATTACATCAATCGTGTTAGGAATTTGCCAGACAATAGGATTCAAAAAACATTAGCGCAGTACCTAATAAATGAAAAAACATTATTTTTTGAAAAATGGTCAAATCTGGCATCCGACTTAAATATAACTAATGATTTGAGTATTAATGAAAACTGGAAAATGTGGCAAAAAAATATAATAACGAAACTAAGTATTGAAGAACGTAGAAATTTTGTAGAAACGGCAAGAAACAGTATATCGAGAGATGCATATAGTAAGTTGAATTATGATCTAGATGTCAATAATTACTTTCACGAGCAATATGACCTAGAAACAATAAGGACAATCTTCAAAACCCGCCGCGAGCTCCTACGATTGTGCTACGTGCCGCACGAAAGACACGCTGTGCACGATATGCAACCTTAAATTGAAAGGCGATGTTATACACTTAGTAGGCGAATGCCCAATTTTTAAAGAACATAGATTGCTGTACTTCGGTAAACCCACGATCGATGTCAATGAAACCATACGGTTACTGAATGGTCCCAACTGGAGATTGTTAACGGCGTTTATTAAAACTACATTTAAATATAGGCAAAATATTATTAATGAAGATTTTTAAATTAACTTATATAAAATCTATTATTTTTGTTAAAGTAATTTAATTTAATTTTTATGTTGTATTCAGCTCATAAGTAAGAATATCTATTTAATATTTATAAAAATTGGATTAATTAGTTATTAGTTAATTAGCTATTAGATTAACCTAAACTTCCGGCAGACGGCTAAAATGCCATAGCTGTAAGCTTTATGTATAGTTATTATAATTATATGTATTATAATTATTATATAACTTCGATGTAATATAATAACTTTAAAATGAAGTAAAAATAAAGCTACTACTACTACTACTACTACTATTAAATACATATTATTTAAAATAAAAAATTATTAAAATATTAAATACTTACGTTGTACATGAATTCATTTTTACCGCGAACAGCTGATTTTTGTTTGCATATCATCGTTCAACAGAGTGTGGTGACAAACACAGGACAGTTTGCTTTGAAATTTGAAAAGATTTATCTAGAATAGCAAACAGCTTTTTGCTGGATGAAAATCTTAAATAATTGTCAATATTTAGCAAATTTGTCAAGTTCGCAAAATAGGGGGGTTAATATCGACATAAATATATTTAGTAATTACTAATTACAATTTTTTTCAGTGTAGTTGTTAGAAATTTTAAATGTTATAAAACAAGTAAAAAACTATTTCTGTTAATCTAATTTGTCCCTACATTTAAAAGGTGCGCCTATTGTATTTATTACAGCTTAGAAAACATTAAGTCTGTTTGTATAATTGATAATAATATTGTAATTGGTACACACATATTAACTTATATTCTTTTATTATCGAATATACATTTATATATACGGAAAAAACAAACATTTATAAACAACGATAAATTTATCTATGTATAAAAATGGTTCCAATAATAATTGAAAACCAGAGCGACTGTCCGAAAGATTCTCAAAATTTAATTTTATAAACATATTAATGATAGTTTCTACTACATTCTATATGTACATACATATGTATATACGTATATAATTGAAGTTTACAAATAGATTTTACTATTACGGTAGACAATATACATAGATATTGAAGTTATTTGTTATTTCAGTTTCGAACTTTAAATTAAACCACTGAATAGGAGCAACCAATCGCATAAATTTTGTAGGGCTTTACTTAGATTATGTTTGCCAGGTTTCTTTGCTATTGTGAGTTTAGGTTTGAATTTAAACAATTGAAACATGTAAATCTAGCTTTAATTAAACGTGAGCGTTATGATGTTATGAATAATTGTTGATCTTAAGATAATATAAGTGCACTTAAAATCTTGAAAGTGATTATAAAAGCAAAGCCTAATTTCATTAGCAATACCATATATAAATAGATTTGGAATCGTAGAACACATTTAGTTTAATTATTCACATTAAGGCAAACGGTTCAAAGTTTTATTAAAATAAAATAGTTTTGTACGTACTTTCGTACTGCTTTAATACAAAATGAACATCTTTTTCCCATTAACTGCTTTATTTATGTTGGGCATGTTGACAGCTGTTACTGCAGGTCATTATAAATCACAAAAGTTGCACAGAAATGGAAAGAATTCTTTTTTTCAATTGCAGTCTCTGAGCCCGTCTGTTCCTACAAAAATTCCCAGGGTGAGACGGTATTTCTGAAATATTTGCCTTATTTAAAAAAAGGCGAAGATTATGTTGATTTCGGTGCTAATGGTTTATGTACCAAGCAAGCAACTTGCACGGAAACGTTTAAAACCGAAGTTGAAGAGTAAGTACCACTGAAAAAGTTATCAAATTTCAACATAAACTGCAATTATAAAATTTTTCCAGTTGCTCCAAATATCCTGTGAGTTGCTCTAACAAAAATACTTTTAATGGGGTATTTCCTGCTTGTTGTGTAAAGTGTTAGCAAGTTAACCACATCCATATCTGACAATAAACATTTTAAAACGAATATTTTAATTTCAAATAAAACGCAATATATAATGGCATAAAATGTTGTATTTATGTATGTGTTTCTTAGTAGCCATAGGGAATGAATTTGATACTCGCATTTACCAAATATTTATTTGAAATGTGAAATGCGATGCAGTTGCAAACAAGCTTGCGTGTAATTTAATATGATTTCTACATTCGTAATTATTGTATTAAGTGGTAGGAATGTACTATTCAAGATGTAAAAAACAGCTTATTTAAGGGCAAGTTGAATTTGATCGTATTATTAATCCGACACAAATCAATCCACTGACAATGTTTTGTGGCAAAAACATTTGTCCCACGGCTAGAATTATCTTGATGTAATGTACAATACAAAAATATAAAATTGCATCTAAAAATACGTTCTTCGTATTTTCAATAAGGGCCATGTTATGCAGAGTGTCACATCAGTGTTGCCAATTTCGTATTTTTACTACTTTTTGGTTGTTCCTAAATTTAAAAGGAAATATAAACATGCTTACTTGTTTGATTTTTGTTTACAATTATTTGCAAGCAATTTCAAAAATGAGTCAATCCAAGAAGTATCAAAAAATGGCTTTAAAAATTATGCAATCACTTAGCGATTATGGGGATATCATAGTCTTTTGGAAGGCAGATGATACTCTTCTAATCAAAGAATGTTTTGTAAAAATGCTACAGCAGAAACAACGTCGTAAAAGGTTGAGTGCGGCGAAGTTGTGGCGGGATGACAGGAGAATTCACTGTTCGTATGCATTTGTGTCTAATGAACTGCGCCTGTTAGATACATATGCATACAACAACTTCTACAAGATGTCCAGCGATACATTTAAATTGTTGTTACAGCTTGTAGAAAAAGATCTACAAAAGTTGGACACAAACGCGCGAAATGCTATTTCTTCTGCAGAGCAATTATCCGTAACACTACGATTTTTCGCAACTGGGGAAAGTTACAAAAGTTTAGAATATCAAACAAGGCTATCGCATTCTTATTTGGTATATTGTATACCAAACGTATGCCGCACAATTTGGATAAATTTAAAGAACAGTTATTTAAAGGTGAATATTTTACTTTGTATATTATAAACATGAGTAATATGTACAATATATACAATTGTTTAATATGAATTATTTATATATACAATATTTACAAAGCTTTTGACTTAACCACTATATACAATATTTACAATGTTTTGGACTTAAACACTATATATACAATATTTACAATGTTTTAAACTTAAACACTAATATTTACAATGTTTTAAACTTAAACACTATATACAATATTTACAATGTTTTACGCTTAAACATTAATATGTACAATATTTACAATGTTTTAAACTTAAACACTATATATACAATATTTACAATGTTTTACGCTTAAACATTAATATGTACAATATTTACAATTCATGGCTACATATCTTCCTCGTCCAGAACACCAACTAAAGCTTCTGCCAATATGTCTGAATGTTTCTCTTGTGGTGCTGTGGTGCTTTCAGCCAGATCTTTTGCTGCAAACATCATTGTGACTTCTTGTATTTTAGTAATGGCCTCCATAATGATGTTTTTGTTCGTCATGTCATTTAATGTAGCCACCACCTGCTCTCCAAGCCATTCATATTTTCTATTTGACCTACTTTCTACTTTGTTCAAAAGTGTTTCGTAATTGTTGTCCATATTAATTTTCCGTTTTTTACATCTGAAATGAAATGAAATATAGTAATAGTACAAATATACAAATAATCAAATATACACTTAAATTTTAATATTATTTCCATTGCAGTTTCCCACCACAATTCAACAGTGGAAATCAATCGCTAAAGATTTCGAACAAAAATGGCAATTTCCACTATGTCTTGGGGCATTAGATGGTAAGCACGTTGAATTTAATGCACGAGCATGTTGGCATTAACAGATGCAAATTGTAAATTTATTTACATAGACGTCGGCGCTAACGGTAGAACAAACGATAGCGCAGTATTGAAAAATTCATCTCTTCAAAGAATATTGGATACTGCTGAAGCTCATTTCCCACCAGATGAAATAATAGGAAACAACAGATTGTTGCCATATGTTGTTGTGGGTGATGGTGCTTTTGCTCTTCATAGACACCTTATAAAACCATTTTCACATAGAATTAATATAGTGAAGAGGCAAAATTTTAATAAACGACTTTCAAGAGCCAGGCAAGTTGTAGAACGGTCATTTGGAATTCTGTCGTCCAGATTTAGAGTGTTTCAAAAATCGATAAATATGAAAAATGTGAAAAATATTGAAACCATTACTCTGGCATGCTGTGTACTGCATAATTTTCTTATGGATAACTCCTTGCAGTACGCAAATTTTGAGTGCCCTTCAAATCCTCAAACATGCGAAGAAAGTTCCAATATTTATGCACCATTTGAGGGTGTTCGAACCGAATTTATGGAATTTTTTAACAATGAAGGAAAATTGCAATGGATGGAAATGTGATTTATTAGAAATGCAATTTACTTACTGAATCTGGTTGAGTAGGACTTTGAAACTCATCCTCCACCGTCTGGCTCTATTAAAAAAGAAATTTGTAGTACATTAAACAATATTTGCATATATTTTGTTTAAAATAAATATAATTGTTACTTAATATCTATTACTTTTTGATTTTTCACACGAAAGTCATTACTATAAAAAAATATTATTCATGAACATATTAGTAAATTTTGAAAAATTTTAACAAATTTAAATAGTTAATAATGTAATGATATTTATAAAAAAAATAAATCGAAAAATTTATATTTATAATTATATTTATGTTATAATTTTTACTTATTATGTTCTGAATATACAATCATATGCAAAAGCTAGACTGATTTTACATTTTATTTTTAATTTTTATTTTATTTTATATATATTATATTATATATATTTGGTATATATTAGTATGTTGTATGTGTATATATGCATATGTATATATATGCATGTATGTATGTATGTGTGCATATATTTGTTTACAATTTTATTCTTTATAAATTTTTTATTTTGTTTTTGAATTTCTTTGTATTTATATATAAAATATTTCATTCACAATTTGTGATATTTGCTAAATATCCAAATACTGTTATTTTTAACGTACAGATAGAAATTCTATTATGTGCATAATGCATATAAGTATACTTTTTATAATATAAGATGTAAAAAACAATTAACTCACAGATTCAAATAAAGGAATTTCTCCTGCGCTTTTTTCAACTGGCCCATCCTATAAAAAAAAGAAAAAACTTTATAATATATTTATAGACAGTAATTTATTATATTTAATAAATGAAACAATGCTTACAGCTTCCTCATAACTGGATGCACTTTTTCTGATTGCCATTAATGGCCGGAGAAATTCCAGTAAATGGAAACACCATAACCTTGGAGTTCTCACGTCTTCTAATCCAGCTCCACTTCGCTTGCTTGAGCTGATGATCCGTAGCTCTCTAAGGAACTGAGATCTAATACTCTGTATTTTTTTCTTCAATTCCATTAGAGTTAACTCTGGGATGTCGGGTTTCATCAGCGTTGAATGCTTGCTCTCGCGCTACTCTGTCATGGTATTTGGGATTTTTTACTTCCCACAAGCATTCGTGCAGCTGGTACATAGTTATCAGCTTTTCAGTTACTTCTCTCTCCCAACGAAGTGCCATTCCTCAAAAATTAGCAACAACAAAAAAAGTATTTGCTGTGAAATAAATAATATTAAATTGTTTTATAAAAAATTATAATATTACTTACAAATTGCCACCAAAAAAAATTGTAACAAGAAAAGAAAGTATAAGCTGTAAAATAAATAATATTTTATCGTTTTATAAAGTATTTTAATAATACTTACAAAATTATACGTCAGCGCCAAGTATTTGTAGTAAATTACTCCTAAAAGACGCAAATTTTGAAATTTATTACTAAACAACACTGTTTTGCCTTAGTGCCGGGGCACAAATACGCCGGCTCTCATGCCGGAGTTTGAACGGCCATATTGTTTTTTTTCTCATTACCAAATTTAAAATTTGCATTGAAAACAAAAACAATTGTACTCATGACGTGCCCGAGACACTCTATATAAAGCTTTTTGTTTTCATAATCATGAAAATTATAAATACAGTCAAACTTCCATAACTCGAACAAAAATTTTGTTTCATGCCGATAGGAATATGAGAAAGTGCATTCTATAAGACGAAATTTTGTTTTAAGTATAAATGCGTTTTGCTGTTAGGGGAAATCCCTTTTTCAAACCAAATGTTTAATATTTTCTTTCTTATGTTGCTTCTTTGTGCAAATGTCAGTCGCTGGCAGCGTGGTTTAAAGTAAATAAAATAACTTCCAATCCTACTCTTATCGCTTATAATGAGCTAGACAATGAAATTTGTACATCAAGCTTTCCTTCAGATGACGATATTATTGAGCACTATAGCTCTAAATTACTGGATCCCATTTTAAGCGCAATGGAAAGTGATAATGAGAATTCCGTGTATGTAATTGTTTATCAGCTTTCCAAGAATGAGGTAGAAGACTAATTCAAAATTCTGAATTTATATTTGCAAACGAATGAAACTACAACTGATGATCACTATAAGGCTTTAAATAAAATGGAATGTCTTTTTACTGAAAATAACAAAAAAATTAAAATCCCAAACACTAATTACTAATTATTATACTAGATTATAACTTCTGTGCTGTATTTGATTTTAAATAAATAAATAAATAACTTATAATATAATTCTAGTTTCTTCCAAAAATAAAATAAAAAAAACATTTGCTCATTATAACTATTAATAAGGATGATTTACCACACAAAAATCTCTCATTTAAATGAGCTCATTATCAGCAAATCAACTCATTTAAGGCGAATGCAACCATGTCGAATGCAACCATTAAAAATAAATTTCCCACAAGGGAAATGACCAAAATTTGAAATATGTGTTATATGTTTAATATGAAAAATGTATAGAAACAACAGTTGAACTGTAAACAAAGGCACTGAGGAAGTAAGTATTTAATAAAATCTTTGATTTTATTAATTGAATATGTAATTGATATAAGAAATATAAATAAATGATTTAAATATCAATTATATATTTAATTTTTTTTTTCTGTGATATATTAGCAAGAGAATTTTATTTTTTTTATATAAAAGTTCTATCAGCTACATAAATGAGTTCATTATAAAGTGAACGTTCACTCATTAATATAAATGAGCAACTACCTAAATGAGACAGTGTGAATGTATTATAACTTGAAGTCTCCATAAGTCGAGCCTTTTCTTTGCAAAATTGGACTTCGAGTTATGGAAGTTTGACTGTATATAAACTATAAGTATTTTATGTGAAATTTTATTTTTAAACTGGCAAATAGTTTTATATAAAATAAACACTCTAGAACTGTAAATATAAGTAAAACATTTAATAAAAGATTATTTTTTTCAGTCTTGGATATTGTTAAAATAAAATTCAAACTTGAAAAAAAGTAGTACTATGATTCTATTTTTTAAAAGTTTTCTAAGTAATACAAAATTTTTTTTGTGAAAGCAATTTAATTACATTTTATTACTTATTGATACTCGATTGTGTTTTGATTAGTTTTTTGTTATATTATTAAAATGTTATATTTTCAGTTACAAATATTTGGTTTTCCAAATGAATTTGATTTATAATAGGCCTTCTCTTCTGTAAACGTATCACAAAACAACAACGGCTTATTTTTAAAATAACATATGAAACAACAACACTGCTGCAGGCCGATTCCACTAATCGGTAGCGCTAAAACTCCATCGCTAAAATTCTTTAAATGCATTTTAGCGACTTTTGCGATTCTGCTAACTCTTTACGCTTAATTTCTATTCGCAAATTTTCTCAAGTTTCAAAAACAGCTGACTTCTCCGGATAAATCGCTAAATCTCCAAATTTCGTATTCTGCTAAATTGGCAATCGCTAAATTTCGTTAAAAACTACTAAAATTTCTCCTAATTTGATTGTTTTTGGCGACTAGGTTTTTGGTGTCGCTTAAAGTGAAAATATTATTTTTTAAACAAATTGAGCAATTATTTTGTACGTATTTAGTATTATATTCATATTTATTTATTAATTATTAATTTATTATTAATTATTAATTTATTAATTAATTTGCATTTAAAGTAAAATGAAAATAAATAATTAATATTACAAAAATATTGTGGCAGTAATATAGTGAGAGTGCGTTTGGTGTTTAGCAAATGTAAACAAATGTATTTTATTTTTCATATTTTATTTTTAATTTTTGAAATTGCACCAAAAATAAATGAATTGCATATGAAACAGTAAACAAAATAAATAATCATTTACTTATTTACTAATATATTATGTAATATACCATATTTTATTTGTTATTTAATTTTCAGATATTTATGATGGAATTCGTAGATTTAAAGACAAAACGCATTAGCAAGGAGCAGAAACAAGCGCTGGTCCAGCATATGGAACATATGGATTTGCTCATGACAGATTTGTGTCAGATCATGGTGCGCGAAGTCTTCACGAACAGTGGGGCTCTCTAGCTATTATTTTAAATGCCATTGGTGGAGCAGTTAAAGATGCCAATGTTTGAAAGAAGAAGGTTTGACAGATATGTTAATAGTTAATACTATTTATATGTAAAAGAATTATACAAACAAGCATGTAAAATGACATCGTCACATTTAATTTTAAAATTGTAGTGTGCATATTTCTCTTAGAGAAACTATATTGAAAAACTGTGAATAAAAAAACTCCATTGTTTAATTTTAGACCCAAGAGCAAGAGAAAAGTCCAAGAGCAAAGAATACCTTACAAGAACGTCAACTCCATTGTGAACTAAAATTTGTTTTTTCGCACAACAACAATTTGCCGTAGAGCTCTTGAAAGTGTTAGTGAAAAGTGCACTAACACCAGATGAAATCCCTGAAATTTTTCACCTTTTCACCTTTTTCCGATGCTTCGAGCACGGTTGCCACTTATGGTACTTTAGTACCAAAATTGGTACTTTTTTTTCCGTTTGGTACTCTGGTACTCATGTTCAAAAAATGGTACATTTTCGGCGACCCAACTTTATTGTGGATATTTTTGCACATTTTATATAAATTGTATTTTCTTATAAAAAGACAATAGAAAAATTTTGGACCTTTTTTTACAGAAATGGTACCTTTTTAAACCAATTTTGGTACAGAAAAAAATTTTCAAGTGGCAACCGTGGCTTCGAGTACTTTTGAGAACGAAATATTTCAAAAAGTTTACCATGAAGAGTGTAAGAAAGAGTGTGGTTTTGTTTTTTGGTTTTGATTTTTTGAGAGTAATATAAAATTTCGTTGCGCCAAATCATACAAAATTTACTGCGCAAATATTTAACAAAAAGTAGTTAAAATTTTGCAAACACTTTAATAGCAGTTACCAAAAAGTAGGTATAGCACAATTTTTATACCAAAAATTAAAAAATATACGTCCATATGTTTGCTGTCGAAACTGCAAAACAGACAGTATTTTAACTCTTTTTATAAGGGTACGCATGTATTTCCTGTTAAAATTTTTTAATAGGGTTCTA